GGGGGGGGGGGTACAGTGGACTTACTTGTGTGGACTTGGTTGGGGGGGGGGGGGGGGGTGGGGCTTGTGGCTTGTGGCTTGCTGGTGGCTGGTGACTGGTGGCCTGGTGACTGGTGGCTGGCGGCTGGCTGGCTTGCGATGGGCGATGGACGCGGACATGGGAGGGGGGGCAGAAGGTGGAGATCCTCGGGCGTTTCTGACGGAGGAGGTCAAGGATGCTGCTGGGAGGGTGGATTTTGACATGTTTGCGTACAGCAAGGAGCAGCTGGTGTACGTGGTAGAGTACATGTTCCACTCGCTCGGATTTGTGGACGCGTTTGGCCTCGACGAGGAGGTGATTGTGGCGTTTCTGCACGCGCTTCGCGAGTCGTACAACAATGTGCCGTTCCACAACTTTTACCACTGCTTCTGTGTGACGCAGATGGCGTACTGCGTTTTCGTGGCCGCGGCGGGCGAGGACGAGAGTGTGTTCCTGAACGTGTTTGAGAAGTTTGTGGTCTTTGTCTCGGCGCTGTGCCACGACGTCGACCATCCGGGCTTCTCCAACTCGTACCAGATCAACGCACAGACACCGCTGGCGATGGTGTACAACGACATGTCGTGCCTCGAGAACCACCACTGCTCACAGGCGTTTGCCCTGTTCAAGCAGCCGGGCTGCAACCTGCTCGCACCGTTCTCGCGCGAGCAGTACAAGGAGCTGCGGCGGCTGATGGTCAAGCTCATCCTCGTCACTGACCTCGCCAACCACTCGGCGGCCAAGGCCAAGTTTGACGCTGCTGTCGCCGACGGTACGCTCGACCTGACGGCTCGTGCCTCGCGCGACATGCTCTGCCAGGTCGTCATCATGGCATGTGACATCTCCAACGAGGTCCGCCCCTTTGCCATCGCCCGTCCCTGGGCCGACCGCATCACCGCCGAGTGGGGCAACCAAGTGGCGGTCGAGAAGGCGCTCGGCCTGCCGTTCCTTCCGTTTATGGACGCCGAGACCGTCGTCGTGCCAAAGTCGCAAATCGGGTTCATCAACGACATCCTCCATCCCATCTGGACCTCGCTCATGGCCGTCGTCGAGCCAGTCCGCGCCTTTGAGGCCAACATCCTCGCCAACCGCGAGGCGTATGCTGTCGAGCTGGCCTCGCTCACGCCCGCACAAAAGTAAGGCCTGGCCCTGCCTCTGCCGCTCGTTTGTTTGAGATAAAGCTGAGTCTGCCTTGCCTGCCTGCACAGACCTTTGTTCACCATCCAGTTCACGAGCTCGACGACGAAGCGCCCGAATACTCGTCCGAGGCCGAGTCGTCCGAGTATGACGCCGAGGCCGAGTCGTCCGACGCGGAGTCTGAGGCCGAGTCCGAGGCCGAGGCCGAGTCCGAGTCCGACGATGCGTACGACGAGTCGGCGTCGGTCGACGAGTCGTCAGACGACGTCGAGCCGCGCGAGCGCTTGCCCTTCTTGCCCTTGCCCTTGTCCTTGCCCTTGCCCTTGCCCTTGGAGGCCTTCTTTGCCCGCTTCTCGGCGTCCTTGCGGTTCTCGTACCCGCGGACCGAGGCCTGGATCTTCTCGGCCGCAGCGTGCTTCTCGGCCTTGGAAACCTTCTTGCCCTTCTTGCCCTTCTTGCCCTTGGCCTTGTCCTTGCCCTTGGCCTTGTCCTTGCCCTTGCTCATAGCCTTCTTCGCCATTGCCCTCTACACCCCAATACCCACTCTCCTTGCAGTAAGACTCCCGCAACCGCCCCCCCTCTCCCTCCCTCACCCCCTTTCATCCCCCCTAACCCGCCACCCACGCTGCGCGCCCACCAACGTCTCCCTTCCCCCCGAATAACGAAAAGCCGCTCGCAGAGCCCATCCGTTTTTTCAATTACTTGACAGGCAAGGCATCAATCGAGGCAGAGTGGCAATCAAAAACATACATTGAATTCGAGTTGGGTGTCTTTAGCCGAGGGCAGTGTGGTCGGGCGGGCGGGCGGGCAGTGTGGGCGGGCGGGCGGCGACAAGGGGCCGCTCACCATCTGGTCGACGATTTAACTTTTAGCATTGTGCCAGTGCAGATCAGACCCGAGCTCACGGGCGCCAGGTCAAGCGCGAAAGCAGCCAACGCCACTCGATTAGTGGCTTCCACGACGAGCTATGACGTCGTCCCACCTGCTCTCTGCATCCGGACGCACGATACAGCGCACGATCACGTAGAAGAGAACAAGTGCGAGATCGGCGATGAGTGGTCGATATGCAGCTTGCTTGGGTTGACGCGGGCTGACGCGGGTTAGCGCGGGTTGGCGCGGGCTGACTCTGGCTTCGCGCTTGTTGGCTCGGGCACGGACCTTGGGGGCTTGGCCAAGGAGTCTAAGGGGTCACTTGACTGTCTGCCCCCCCCCCCCCCCCCCCCCCCCCCCTCCGGACCAAGTCACCACATACACACGGCCATGGGCTTCGAAACGTCGTCCCATGCCAAGCACTGGCTGTTTACGGAAGACACTATCCTTCGCATGCGTAAGGAGAGCCATGCCCGCGGCGTCGCCGGTGTCCTCGCCGCCTATGCAGACCACGCCGAGTTTCTTGGCACTCCGCCTGCGGTATGTGGTGATAGAGGAAGAGAGGAAGATGTGGTGGTGGTGGTGGTAGCGGTAGTGGTGGTGGTGGTAGCGGTGGTGGTAGCGGTGGTGGTGGTGGTGGTGCCTGTGGCGCGGGTGGCTGCATTGGTGGTGGTGGTGGTGGTGACGACGATATGATGGGAGCGCACGGACGCACGGGCGCGATGGCGGGCAGAGACTGCAATACCGCGATGCGATGGCGCTATGCGTTGCTGCGAGGTGCGATACCCCGTGTCCATGCGCTCTCTTGAATTGGAATGCCGCATACTTCCCTTCACCCCCTCTCTCCGTCCAGCCAACTCACATGATGTGATGGATCGATGCTGTGTGTGTGCGCGCGTGCTTCAACAGGACGATGCGTTTCCGTCGGTGGAGGACGAGACGGTGCTGGTGGACTTTTACGCGCAGCAGATGTGGGTGCTGTGCAAAAAGGTGGAGCTCCCGCCAAAGGTCTTTGGCTGCGCAGTTATTTTCCTCAAGCGGTTCTACCTCAAGACGTCTGTACTCGAGTATGTGCCCAAGGAGGTGATGTTGACGGCGCTGGTGCTGGCGGCCAAGTCTGAGGAGGTCCACATTGCGCCTTCGGCCTTTGCTGCCAAGTTCAAGGTCAAGCCCGAGGCCATCATTGCACTGGAGATCATGATGCTGGAGAAGCTCTCGTTCCACCTCATGGTGTACCAGGTGTGGCACCCGATCGGCGGGTTTGTGGACATGTTTCGGCGGCTGGATCCCGAGTGCGACTGGCAGACATTGCGCGACGAGGCCATGGAGTGGGCACGCGACGCCATGCTCTCGGACCTTATCCTGCAGTACCCGCCGTCGCAGCTTGCTCTCGCCGCCACTTGCCTCGCCGCCGACGAGGCCGGCCTCGATGCTGACACCTTTCTTGCCCACCAGTTCCCTGGCCCGGAAAATGACGCACTGCGCGCCACCATCCGCGAGCTGGAGAACGCCCTCGACACCGCTTCCCAGACCACGCTCGACAAGGCCGCAGCGCGCGCAGCCAACGCCGCACTTGACGCCACCCGCAATCCGCTGCTTGATCCCGAGTCGGCGCTCTCCAAACACCTCGCCGAGCGCGCACTCGAGGACAAGGCCACCGCCCAGCTCGCCGAGCTCGAGCGGGCCAACGCCCGCCGTGCCGCCAAGCAGCGCGAGCTCATGGGCTTTGACGACGGCGGCGCCGGCTCGTCGAGCGACGATGCGCCGGTTGCTATGGTGGAAGGCAAATGAAGAGGAGGAAGCTTTATGGTGTACCCGTATCAGTCGCGGATGTCGTCGATGCCGTCGAGGCCCTTGTTGACGACCCGGAGCAGGGCCTTGTTCTCCAGTGCCGCCTGCACGCGCTCCTTGTCATTGAGCTGCTTTGTGATGGCGGCATCCTGAGCGTGGGTACCCGGCGTGACAGCGACCGCGACCTTGAGCCTACGCGGCAGCGACCGCAACAGCCGGACCCTGATCGTCAGCCCGATGAGCGTCGCCATGGAGCAGTGTGGAATGGTCGGTGTGAACTTAACTTCTACCGTGTTTCGCTCATCGTCGACCGAGATCAGGCCCGGCTGGACCACATTCAACTGCTCGAGCGTCAGCGGATGCTCTGGATCATTGATGTGCCGGATGAGCTCAAACACCTCTTGCGCATCGATAGCCTCCCGAGCCATGTCGTCATCGTCTTGCCATTCGTCGCCCGCCCGCCCAAAGTGAGTCGTAGCCACACCACCAGAGCGACACACCAGCAAGCCATCCCTGGGTCATGGTCCTTACCCCCCCCCCCCCCCCC